AAGGCTTTGACACTAATAAAATGCAAAAGCAGTAAGATCCTCAATAACATTAGTAAGCATAGTTGCTGCAAGCGATGGAAATACTTATAAAAATGAATTTTAATTCTTAATATATAACAAATTTACGAGTCAATCACAAATTCATTGCATAGAAAAGCATTTAATACTGAATTAATCATTAAAAATTATCATAATTTCAAAAAATCAAAAACTACCACAAAAACTATCATAATTTTGTTAAACTATATATATCTAAAATGAAATCTAACGATTGACTACTAAATTTGTATTATCATTAAAATTTTTGATCAAATTCAATACTGATCTCATCAAAAATTGAATCCAATCAATATTTACTTTCATATGAGAATTTTGCAATTCGCTTAGTGACATTTTTTAAGCACAATTTTAGAGTAATTTCAAATGCAATTAGCAGTAACTGTAAATATTACTTGCATTACTTATGATAAGCATACAGAATATATTCGCATCAATTATTGCATCAAATTTTCGTATCAAATCATTTTGTAAAAGCTGTGGATAGGTAAATATTACTCAACTTTTCAGTCTTTATTTTTATTACTTGAAATAAAGTTTGATTAGCTGAGCTCTTACTAATGCTGAAATTCCCTTTCCTAAACGCAACAAAAAGAATTCACGTAGATTACATTCTTGCGTTTCACTTCACTAAGTCTTCGCATTCTTCATCTATACTATTGCGTTATATTCACATTCAAATTTCTCTACGTAACAAGTTCATATGTGTGTGTACATTGCATATTTGTGAACTCGCAATACCCCATTAAAAGTATGCGTGTGTCTGTCTGTGCTCTTAATATGTGCCATTATGCAACAATGACCGTTGAATGTGTCGCAACTGATGATGAACTATGCCAATTCCAAATACTATTTTTAGTACCTTTATCTTTCCCTCCAATGATACTGTTCTAAAAATTGAACTGATAACCGAATATTACAGTTTCAGATCATTCAGTACTACACTTCAACTTTAAATTTAGTTTTTCAGATACAAAAATCAACCCTAAACTGGCTGTGCTTATCACTTATCGCAATTATTATCAATCACTGTCTTGCTGAGTGAAACAAAAATAATTTTCATGAGTTCAAATAATCTTTATCAGTTCATACTGCCATTTCATTTAGTCTCACAGCACATAACCGAATCCAAAATAAATTATCAAATACAATAACACTCACCTGAAATATTTTAACATAATCAAATAAATAAGCACTTGCATATTGATAATTCCAGATCACAAAAAATCATTTCACGATAAAGATGCAATCGATTGCTAAAATTATCCAGTGTTATACAAAATAAGTGATAAATGAAAAAACTTACGGTTAAATAATTAGCGAATAAATTTGTATACAATAATTGGTTGGTGACTTTATTCAGCAACTGCAATAATTTCTAGGACAATAAAATAAATTGAACTCATCAATTATTGTTTTGAAAAAAATATAATGCTTTTATCACTTTATATTACTTCAAAATACACAATGTTATTATTATTATTATTATCATTTTAAATGATTTCAAAAAAATCATGGAATATCGTGATTTAAACAGCTAACATACATGAAATGTACTCTTTTCGAAATTATTAATAAAGCAAATGATTTGAGTATATACCAAACCACTTGGTGGGAATGAAGAGTACAGAGTTAAAATCCAAATTTACAAATTGTTTATTGCGACTATAATTCTGAATACAGTTCTCCATAATATTTAGTCTCGAAATATTGAAAAATATAGCACAAAAAAATTATTGAAAATATAATTAAATATCTAAAATGGCTTGCTTTTGCATTTTACTTTACACTTACTCTCTCTCAGAAGCTCAGAATTAAAGTTACTCTCAGAAGCTTAGAATTTTGACTACATATGAGAAAAAGTTGACAAGTTGCTTGTGAAATTTATTCTACTTTTAAAACATAAAACAGTCAGCAACAAATTAATGAAAAAAATTTACACACTAGTGAATTTATTCCGAATTATTGTTTCAACGTCAAATTTGTAACCATAATTATAAGAGATAAATATTCTAATTCTTTTCTTATTAGATCAATTTGTCCTCTTAAAAAGTAATTTTCCCATTTTAGTGCAATCATACGAGCACGTTTTTCTTTTTCATGTAAACAACGTCTTAATTGGCGTGATCGACGTACAGAACCATTTTTGAGATTTAACTGATGTCCATTCAACTATAAAACAACAAAGTTCACGTTCAAATCACTGTAAACTTTACTATTACGCATTTGCATTCCATAAAAGTACTGATTTCACTATTATTACGATTACAATACTATATGAGAACATAAATACATCTTACAATCAATTTTCCACACAGATTATTAATGAAAGCAAAAAAGTATAATTGACCAAAACTTGCCTTATCAGAGTTCATATTTTTAGCTTCAGTTCTCATCACATCACATGCTTCTCTTCACCGCAAGCAACGAATGCAACAGTAAGGAACTGAAATACCTACAAGTTAGCTATTCGAAAAGATGACGAAGAGATTATCACATCAAATTATCGAAATTTAGTTGAAATTATCAACTCAGACTACTTTCCACAGTTTCATACAAAAAGCTCATTTAAATGAAATAAGTTACTCCACAGTACTACTATCAGTATTGTAAGCAGTGAATTTGTTAGGAATGCATGATTTTCTTGCTAGATCAATCACCGCGAGATTAGCACTATCATCAATAAAACTACCAAATTATCATTGCTAGAATGAAAAATAACAAAATATACGTATCCAAAAAATAAACATATCACTGTATTTTAAAAAAACTAGCACTTAGAAAAAAAAGCTGCAGAAAAGAGCACTTAAAAGTCAAAATAAAAATATTTTTCGTTTTTGATTAAAAAATCTCGCGCTGATTAATCTAGCAAGAAAATAATGCATTCTTAGCAACTTCACTGCTCACAACGTCTTTTACGCTTATGCTAAATCTGTTTGCAGTTCCTCTTACATTCGACATTTGACCTGTGAGCAAAAAATATTTCATATATATACACATATATAACATACTATTTCAAAAATGAAGTACTGCTTTTTAGACAAAATACTTTTTCTCCTTTTGGTCATAAAGTTAAACCTTCTGAAATTTGACGCGAAAGGATTGAGGACGAAATAAAATCAATCATAAATCACTTTATTTGCGTTTCAATTATTGAACTTAGCAGCTTGTAAATATAAGTCAGACTAATAAATAATACAAAAGTCTGAAAAACAACAATTTAAAAATAATGATACTGTCGTAGACTCAAAAAAACTTCTAATATTTCAATGGCTAAGCAAAAGATTCTCAGACTACTCTAAACTTTGCTTCTTTTTAGTGCATAAATAATGACATAAAGTTAAACTTTCTAATAAGTATGCAAATTTAAAATGGTTGCTTGCATATTTGTTTGGGAATATTTTTAACTTGCATTGTGAGCAAAATTCAGATTCAGAAAAAAAAAGAAACGAACGATAGACAAATGAACTATTTTTCATGACTGTGCTATTTATTATAAAATCTAGCTGGAAGGCAACTTGACAGGTTGAAAATAAGACAGTGAAAAAGAGTCGTAACGTAATGAAATAAAGGTCAAAACGTCAAAGACAAAAGGCTAAAGCGTGATCGATTATCGGGTACGGTTGACCAAACTAGTATTTACGCAACAGGTCGTGAAACATCACTCAAATACTATATCCAAAAAATAAGTGCAACGGATTATTCACCATTGCATCATTAGTATATACCGACTGAAGTTTAAGCCTTCACCTTTTTTGACCTATTCACGACCTTTCATATTCAAATTAAAATTGTTCCGAAAAAATAACGCTAAAAATGTATACTTTTATAATTAGGAAAAAAATTGTTGAAAAAAAAAATTTTAGACGTCATATACAAACTTTGCAAAGTAAAAACTGGCAATTCAGTAAGTCATAACGTTTTTGAGTTTGGTCTTAAAAAGCGATAAATTGTCTATAGCAGAAATTGACTAAATTTAATCTGATGTCCAGAAACGAGAGTTGTCAGCAGATGACGTAAGTGTAAGTCAACAACCAGCGCTTGAAATGAACAAAATTAATTTGATATAGTAATTCTGTCATTCGAAATGTAAATAAACTGAGATAAGATTAAAACATTTGCATCAATCCCAAAAAATTGATTACCGAAGAGTTGACAAGCTTATCTACAAAAGCAGAGACAGTAACTGCGCTTTATATAAGAAATAAATAGAGTTACTTTTGCTTACAAATAGAGTTAATCACAGAAATTGCACACAAATTACAGAATTATGAATGCACGAAAATTCTTTGAAAGACTATTCTGATACTCAAACAGAGAGAGTGCATGAATTGAAAGCAAATACCAAGAATATTTGCAATATAAAACTTAATCTCATGTAATATCTACTCTTATCACCTATAGGAAATGAAATTTTCATTAGAAGTCGTATGATTTCATGAATCCCACGTACATTGCAGTCAGATGTATTTGCGCTTAATTGTACGTTAAGTGACTTATGCAGATTTATGATTACGTTATGATGGCTTAAGCAGGTCATCACACTATCGTTATGAAAGTAACTTGAATAATCCAACACTAATGTAATTTAAAATAATTGGAACTTTTCGTACAAAATAATTTTCTATTATTCGAAATTTCTAAGGTCATTTATCTAATTATGATTAATCACTGTATTCATATGGAGAAATGTTATCTGAGTCATTCAGTGTTTAGTGAACGTCACGAATTTCGGTGCTGAAATGAAGGAAAGATGGTGCTGTTAGATGCATTATTAATCGTTGCAAAGGAGGGCAATTTGTTCAAGGTTTTCTGTACTGTTTAGTGGTTTCATATTGGAAAGAAGCAAGAAATGAATGTCGATGAGATGCTTGTGTTTACTGCATTTTTGTTTATTTCAACGACAAGCTTACTTCCTTGGAATCTGTTCATGAATGCTCACGAGGTATAAATCAGTGAAGAAATTAGTGCGATTTGAAATAAGATTTATTAGACAAATAACGGAACAAATATTTCACGTATGCATTACGTATGACTTGAAACTAAGTAATCTTATTTTTTTTTGAATAGTTTTCATACTTGAGGTCAATAATGCTTTCTTAATTAGGCATTGGTATATTTTCTTTTACTTATTTATTTATTTCAATGTTTTAATATTTGACTGCCAATTAAAGTCACTTACGGAATGATTTTATTTGTTTTCAGCAGTTGAGTATATGTGATAACCGATCACTTTTAATGTTGTTATGAAAGGCTCTGACTTGTTTTTTACTGTGATGACTGCGTATAATAAGAAATTTACTGAAAAGATACGATTGTTGAGTATTCTAACGTATGACATACTGCGATCAATATATAACCTACGAAATCTGTGTACTTTTCAAAGTTACTAGTAAAGATGTGGTACAGTACTAAATTGATAATATCATTTACATTTTGATGCTAAAGTTGAAATTTTAAGGCCAGAAACAATATAGGAACAGTTAGTAATATGTCATTTTTTCGATATTTTTATGAAATGATTTGTTCTGCTATGAAATCAAGTTAATTTTACCAGCTATTTATATTACCATTTATTATTTGTTCTACGTAATTTATATTATTTGAATTTTTTTCAGTATTATCATTATAAGCTAAGAAACATCAGTGACCACCGAAACGAAAGCCTCATTAGGGAAGACAATGTAACCGATTTGCAGCGTTCATATGAGGGTTGGATTACTTTAATTAGTGGTTTTTCGTGCACTCTTGGTTCAGCAGTTAATTTTCTTACTACAGGACGGTATGATTCATATGATTTACAGTTTGTTACTTTCTTTTCTTTCACTTACAATAAGTTATTTTTTTTTGTAAGGATAGTTTATCACTTTTTAAATTTTAATGCATAATACAAGAGTGAAGTTTTTGCTCTGTTTGATTTTTTAAATTTAATCTCAGAGTAAAGAATTCCTTTCGCATACGGGCAGGTCATGCAACCGTGTTATTGGCTCTTATTCCTACTGTTTTACTGACTTACATCAATACTGATAAGTGTATGTTTTTACTACAGTGTTTAAATTACCTTAATTTCTGTTCAGAAATAATGCATGAGTTACATAAAAGTTGTCAGTGATCAGTCTCTTAAATATTCTCTTATTAAAAAATTGTAGCTCAATTGACTTTTTTTTGGTGTTCAATGGTGTTATCAGGATTTGCCAGTTTTGGTTCTATTGGTTTAATCGGTTGTGGCCTTCTAGGATTTTCAGCCAAATATCCTCAAAAATGTGTAATCTTTCCGTAATTCAAGAGTGTTCAAATTTGTTTTTCAGCAGCTCGAACAACATGAGCAGTTTTGTTCATATTTGATTTCTAGAGTTTACGTATCACTGTTTTCTGAAATATAATTGCAGTGATTCCGTATTTGTCTGCTTTTTAATTGTCTCGATATGATTACAGGTGCAAGCAGTTATGATTGGCCAGTCTGTAGCTGGGATTCTAAGTTCATTATTGAGCATTGTTTGTCAATTTTTGACTACCAGCGATATTCTGAATGGTCGTTTCTTTTTTTTTATTGCATGTGTCTGGACTGTTGTAAGTGTTCTTATTTATGAGTCACTGATTCGATCAAAAAAAATGGAAGCACAGCTTGCATGGGAGGTTGATAATATCGATGGATTGTCTGGTCAGCGGCTTCTTGGTGATATATTACCTTATAGAAAATTATTTTGTTTCATTAATATTAAATGAATAGGAGTTCAGAAATCCGTGTTTTCAGTGAAACTTCATATTATATCAATTATCTATTTACTTCAAGCTTTTGCTGCACCAAAAAAGCTAGATTTCAAAATGTTTTCAAAATTTGTCTATTGAGATCCTCTTGGTAATGATTTCGAAGATGAACCACCTCTTCAATTGCGATCAGTTCAGACCAATTCTTTTTCGGATGATGTGAAGCTAGTATGGAGTAAAGTCAGTTAATTGATATACCTTGATTACTAAAAGCTTGCAATCAACGTTTGAGCCAAGAATTGTTTGATTTAAGACAAATGTCGAATGGTGGGCTGGTTTCGTTGTTATTGCTGGTACTTTGTCAGCTTTTCCAGCATTATCATCGTTAGTCCAGACAACGGCTAAAAATTTGATATGGAAAAGTAGGTATTCGATTTAAGATCGGTGCAAATAGAACTCATTTCAGGAAAAGTTGAGAATATTTAGAGTACGGGAAAAGTAATGCATGAAATTTATTTCTGTTCTTGATTTGATATTAAAGTCTGCGATTACAGATTACTTCACGTCAGTTGCATGTTTCTTATTATTCAATTGTGGAGATGTACTGGGTCGTTTATGTGTGAATTTTGTTCATTTGGTGAGTTTTTCAGTTTGAGTTCAGTGAATAAGATGTTATAATAATTATAAAATCTCTGTTCTGTTCTTTGTTAGCTTTCAAAGAAGTTCTTACTGACATTATATTGGTCACTTTGTAAGTAGTTGAATGCTGAAGTAGAGTTTTTCAACAGTGTAAAAACTGATTGTGTTCAAATTTGTTGCAACGGTTCAGAGCTGATATTTGTGATAAGCACTGTCTCTTGATTTCTGGAATACAAATTATTAGTGGTTTTTTATTAGATTTATCTCAGGATTATGTAAAAATGGGAATACTTCGTGTGGTATGGTATCATTAAATTTGTATTAGAGGTTTGTCATACATTTAACAAAGTAGTGAACCTTACTTTTATCTTCAAGAAATTGGAAAGAGTAAGTGTAAATATCTGGCAGTATTGATGTGCATAATCCTCGCGATGTATTTTATGCTTCAAATCTAGATTAAATTTATTGTGCTCTAAAAATCTTTTGCAAAAATGTGTTATTACAGTGTTACCAAATATTTGTTCTAAATTAGCATTTCAGAATCAAAAGGTCTTGGTAATATTTTCACTACTACGCCTTTTAACTATTCCATTATTTTTTTTCTGCAATATCAATCCACGCCGTCATTCTACAACATTTTTTACTAGTGATATAGCCTTCATAACCATAATGACAGTATTTTCCTTCTCAAATGGCTTTCTTTATACTACAGCAACTGTCAATGCAACAAAGTAAGCATTAATGAGTTGGGAGATTATTTTTGTTATATTTATTTATTTGCATTCTTCATGTATAATAATGTATGTAAAAAGGTTTTTTTTTTTTTAATTAGAGTATGTAGTGAGGTCACGAAGAGTGAAATACTTTATTTTTAACTAAAGAACGGTGAACAGTGTGAAAACTCAATATTTTACAGTAAAGTGCGTCAGGAGTCACGAGAATTGACTGGAAGTATATTTGGTTTTATGGGAGTAATATCAACACTTTGTGGGTCTCTAATTGGTTTACTGCTTGTCAACATTATATGAAGTAAGATTTACTTTCTTTTCTGTATATTTATACAGTTACGTATTTATATTATAAGACATTTTAAGACCATTATAATCTTGATCTAGATTTTGTGTAGATATAATTTTAAAAATTCTTTAAATTCTGTCATATGTTGTAAAGTTTTTTAGCTGTGGCATTTTGTATTACTTCATTTATAGCATTCTTTTCACTTGTCAAATTCAAGGGAAATGCTGAGCAAAAGGTACTTGTTTCTTGCTCAGCTATATAGAATGAACTACGAACCTTTCACTTAGAAATTGGAGAAACGTAAATTTACTTAATTAGAAATTCTCAACTTTAGCCGTGCTTTAGAACAAAATGATTGCATGTCTATGACAGCCTAAAACGAATGTTGAAGCTCATATTAAGTTGCAAATACCCCTCACGATAGCTAATTTTGGCGTCAAAAACTAGACTAAATAAAGTCCTCCAGATCATCCACTTTTAACTGTAGGAAAATCAACTGCATCTTTTATAAGCTCTTCTTATAATTGTAGCTGCTGGTCCTGTATTATTTAGTGAGCATGTATCCATTTAAAGAATTTTTATACATTGACGTTGAATTCCAAAAAATCCTAGTTTCAGTTTTGTGAATTCATCACACAAATTCAATGAGAAATAATGCATACAAGTACAAGATATTTTCAATGATGTCAACAGTTATAGAATCAATGCAAATTGATTCTATAATTATTTTAATTAAACTAAAAGGAATCTTATTCACAATTTTTGTGGAATTTAAAATTCCGAGTAATTAAAACACTAGTATAGGAACAATAATTTTCATCACACTAAAAAATGTAAAAGTGATGCGAACATAAATAAAGTTGGTACTCACCTATACATATATAGGTGTGATTTCTTTATAACATCAGAGTTTTATAACATGAAAACTTAGTACACTCTTACAACTTGCTTATGAAGAACAATGACAAACAACTTTAAGATAAGTAATAAACTCTTCAATGAAAAAACAGATCTTTTGATTCGGTTTATTTACTATGTTTACGGCTTCCATAACTTTAACAATCCATCTTCAGCATATGATGCAATAAGATTCTGATGTGGATGATGACATAAACCATTAACTCGATCATCATGCAGCTAAAACTTTCGAATTAGAAGACTGATTCAAAAATACATGCAATTACGGCTTTAATCCAAAGATTTCGAAAGAATTTTTATATAAGAGGAACAATATTCGTGTGTACCGACTCTTGAGTTATGGAAATGTCATCAAATATTGCGTACCGGCAGTGTACTTTCCAGATTTCCGGTAACGAGTGAAAAACAATAAAGCACGTGATCTTCTCCAACACAATAGACCCATTCACCTCGTGGAGATAATGTACACGCTACGAAATTGCCATTTTCGGTTTTACCAGAAGTCATTGATTTAACAATCTAAAAAAGTGATAACGATGTCTGCACTCAATCTTCTCGATTCTATTCATTATATTTTTGACTTCCTACCTGTCCCCTAATATTCACAATAACAATAGTATTTGATCGATTGCAGATAATGAATTGATTGTCTGATTTCGGAATTGGATTTACGCTGTTCACATCTGTATCACCTGATACTCGTATGGTATTCACACATTCACATGTTTTCAAATTCCACACTCGTACTGTTCCATCACTTGATGCAGTTATACACATGTGACCATCCTAAAATTTAATTTCACTTTACTTGAGTCGGATTACAAACAAAAGAAAATATTTATTGCACGTCAAAAGAAAATATTCATTTCAATCAGGGCTGACTTTTTGCAGTACTATCGAAACATAATATTGAATTAATACGCATCCAATTCTAAAAACACAAATAACATCGTTTTTTGTCTACCTCGGTATACTTAGCGTCATTTACGTAATTTGAATGTCCTCGAAGTTCTTTTAGGCTCTTTCCGCTCTTCAATCCATGAATCCTAAACGTACAGCACTAAGAAGCATACATTTAATATAAGAATAAAAATGGTTCGAGAAAGAATTACTAAAACAAACCAAATTCCTTTTTTTTGCAGTGAAAAAGAATAAAAACGGATAATTGGAATAAAGTAATGGTATTTTGTTGAAAGAAATTAGTCACATACCTCACCAACATATCAAATGATGCTGACAAAACATGGGCGTTGTCTCTGGAAAACTGAACACTAGTAATGCCCATGCTGTGCGCTTTTTCAATACGCCTCAGACACTGTCCATTTTGTACTTTCCAAACCTGAACAAATATGTATCTGCAATTTTTTTCGAAAATAATGAGAACTGTGCATAGTTAAAGGAAAGGAATTCTGAAGTCACTGACCTGAATTGCAAAATTTTCATGAGGTAAAGAAAAGCAAATTTATGCAAATTTCATGCAAGAATACACTACTGAAATATTGAAACAAAATTTCACAGCAGTAAGGTTAGAATTATATGAAGAAAAAAACTAGGAACCTTTATTTTGCCATCCATGCTAGCTGTAACTAACATTTCAGAATCACGACTGAAGCATAAACATAAAACCAAACCGTCCATCATCATAAAATTGTCTTGTGCTTGATATTTTAGATCTTTTCGCAATTTCCCATTCATGTAATTCCAAACCTGAGATGAAAACACGAATATGAAAAATATCGTAAATATATTTGTGAGAACAAAAATCTCAGTGCAACAATTCTTAAACTGACCTCAATAAAGCCATCTACGGATCCGGTAACTAAATACTGCCCATCTGGTGAAAATTGTGAACAGTGTGGAAAGCTTGTTTTACCAAATTTAATTTGACGAGCCATTTGAGTAGGATAACGCTCTTCTTCTTGTTCACGTATCGCTGCTTTTCCTCGGAATAAATCAATCTGCGTTCCTAGAAATCATTTAAATTAAATTAAATGAAAAAAGACCTTTCTATTATGCTAATGATGGAACTGATAGTGAGATGCACGATTTCAAATCATCCTACTAAGTTCATGATGGAAAGATTCTTACTAATTTTTCCAGAATATTTTCAAAATCGATGCAATAGACGTATTAAATTCATCAACATTCCAAATACATCATTTCAAAGAAATCATGATTTCTAAACTGCTACTGTTCTTGGTTTCATATAAATCTTACCAGGTGGAAGTAATCCTTGATGTTGCTGCCATTTTAGTGCTTGTGCTAATAATGCCAGTAACCTGGATGGTGGCACAACATTAACTTCAGCTGACAGAGACTGAAAAACTTTAAAATTGTATTTACTTATTAGATGATGGTCTATCTAATTCAAAATATTTTGCATTTTCTAATGGCAGCATAATATCTCCACATATAACCTGTGCAATTGCCGCCCTTCTTTTTTCTTTTGAACTGCCATCAGGATATATTTCGCGTGGATCAAAGTAAGAACGAGCAAGAAGATTGTCTAATCTGGCATATCTGTGGTAAAATAATTTTTATCAAAAAACCCTTACAACTACGAACCATAAACTCCTCAAACTTATGTAATAAACAAGTACTACGAATCATAAAAATAAACCAGCAAAAATTAAAGTTTGCTGCAAAGTACAATGTAAAAAAAACACACTTTACGAAGCTGCTTGTAAACGAAAATTTAGAGAATCAAAACATGATCACTAAATTTAGAGAATCAAAACATGATCACTATTATGAAACACGAGGAGATAAAGCTAAAACACTGAGTATTAATCAAATCAAAAGTCGATTTTCGATAGAACCGTAGCAGAGTCTGATGAAATAAGACTGAAATGATAGTTGGAAGCAGTACCTATCTGGTTCCGTTGATTTAAGCAACTGCATTGGATCTGTTTGTCGAAGAAGAAGCCGAGCTGAACTTAATTCACGTAGTTCTGTTAATTCAACCACAATCTGTAGATGCAAACTTGAAAACGAAGATATCGAATTATTCAAATTTTGCGAGGATAAAGATAAGATGACAAGTACTTACAGTTTCTACTTATTTTGATAATTTCAACCTATTTTCATAATAATGCATAAATATAAGAAGGTGCACTACCTGTTCATATAAATCGATCAATTTTTTAGCAGGTAATTTTAAAGGCTGGATAATTTTAAGTACTGTATCCCAATGTCCACTTTGTATGTCATGAACAAATGAGTCAATGCTATCTACGGTA